GAATTGCAAGCGTCATGGATAAGTAACTGCAGGTCCCACAGGTACACGTCGGATGGAGAAAGTACGGTGTGGAGACCTACGATGAAGCCGTTCGTTACAGATCGAATATTGTTCGTTACATATGTGTAATTAGTTCAATGACGAAGCCTGTTCATCACAGTTTTAAAGAAGGTCATCATAGAAACCCTACGCTCTTCTATGACATTTTTTCTGACGATGCCTGATTTCGTCATAGAAAGGGAGGATTGCAGGATCGTCACCACCGATCTATGACGAAACAGAAATATTCATCATAAAAACGCTCTTCTATGACGGTTTCGGTTTCGTCATTAACATTTTCGTCATAGAAGTAGATATTTCTAGCGGTGTATGATGGATGATCTCTTTGACTTGTGTGATCAAGATGAAAACTATAACCCAAATGTGGAAGGAACTTCTTCTCAAGCAAATGGAGGCACTACACGTCATGGGGACGAAGATGAAAACATGAATCAATTTCGTGATTGGATAGCCGATGGTTTGTTTAGAAGGTCATAGATGTGCCATGGTTTGTAATAATGAAGATTTTTGTATACTATTTAAACATTATTTGTGAGTGAGAATGAACATTGTGGCAGCAGCTAGCAGAGCAGCCAAGCAGAGCAGTGGCACACGCGCGAGAGGCCAGAGCAGTGGCAAGCGCGCCGGAGGCCAGGGGCACGCGCGCAGGAGCCAGCAGTGCGGCCAGCATGGGCGCCAAATGCCGGGGGCAGCAGCTTAGCATTATTTAGGGGTGTTTTGGTCATTCTAAACATGCAGATGTCAAGTTTAGGGGGTGTTTGGGACTGCTCCACAAACTCTGCTCCACAAACTCCACTGTGGAGCAGCTCCACAAAAAACTGGAGTTTGTGGAGTACCTCTTTAGGTGCTCTCACAACTCCACCCTTTTTCCTGGAGCAGAGTGCGTGGAGCTGAAACCGTTTGGCTAAAAAACATGGAGCGGAGCTGAAAAACGTAGAGCGGAGCAGTCCCAAACACGCCCTTAGTCTCATTTAGTCCACCAAACCAAATATGGGTGACTAAACTTTAGGAGGTAGTTTAGCTGAGTAAATTTTAGGAGCCGAGAACCAAACACTTCCTAAGACTAGGCTGGATAAAAATTATATACGTTTAGTAATAGACCAACGTCGTGGCATAGGTGCGAGTTTGGAGATAACGTAGTACTGGATAGCTGCTTAGGTTCATGGGCGTACACATAAAGACTACATAGTGTGCCAAAGCACCAAAGGAACCGAAAATCAAACTTCTGCGGTGACAGTTTCAGTTGGGTAAGCATGCACTGCAGTAGCGTCTATGGCGCATATGCAAAAGGTTGCAATACAACTAAGAGCTGTGGGCTCTTCATATAGCATACAAGTTTTTAAAGTCTTTATGCAGATAGATTGCATCGTCCAGGCAAGCTCTGTTGCAGTTCGCATATAGTACGTAAACAAAAGGAACTTGGTCTGCAGATGTTTGGAACCTAGAATGCAGAAGTGGGCTGTGAGTTAGATTGTACTCCCTCTGTCCCAATATATAAGGCGTAACCACGCCTGCTTCAAAAGACTAAAAAACGTATTTAATCTCTCTCTCAACACTAGTATTACTATATCGATGTGCGTGTGCCCAAAGAGCACGCCTTATATTATGGGACATGAATAAAAGTGGTTACGCCATATATATTAGGACGGATGGAGTATAGCGCAAGTAGTATATGAATCTGCATAGAAAAAATATCCCTTCTATATCAATACAAGTTCGGCGGAGCTCCTGTCAACCGTTTAAAAAAACAGTTTGTCGGGCACGAACTTTGTTCGCTTTTTTTCCTGACAGAGACGTCCTACGCCCAGCGCCTTTGCCCTGTGCCTTTGGGTCTTCATTTCTGGATCTGCAGTTTGGATACATATTGTATGCGAAAGGTTGCTTCAATATTTGGTAGAATGATAGTTTGATAGTGGTAGAGCCAAACACTTGGCAAACAGGACATAATCCATTATGAAATATATATATATCCCTTGAAAGAGTAGTAAACCAATCCATTGCTACCTGGATTTTAAAACAATAGCATGTACATAAATATTTAAGTTGTCTCATAGGGAAGTTTTTACATCTTTTCAATTGAATAAGCACAAATTCCTATAACATGCGAATTTTGGTCAATGGTTTTTCTTCAGCTAATCTCCTTACGCAAAGATGAAAGGATAGTAACATGCTGATATTTCATTTAAGTTTGTCACAAGGTAAAAGTCGTGTAAAGTACTCATATCAGAAAGACCCTATACAGGTTCATTGGTCAAGTACAACAAAAGGGGAAAAAATGATACACATCCATTGACAAGATATATGTATCGAAGGGAAGAAGTAACCGTATTATGACCATTTATAATCTATAAGGTTGCAAATAATTCTAACAAACCGAATATAAAAAATAATTCTAACAAACCATGGTACATGATAAAATCATTTTGTCACCCAGAAAAACAAGAAACTACAATAATGAAGGAACTGGAACACTGATAATTCAAGATACCCTGATAATTCAAGATACACTGAATCTAATTGTATCACCCCAAAAAAATCAAGATACCCTAATAATTCAAAATCCACTGCACTGGCATATATACTTAATAATCGCTTTCATAAAATTAATAGCAGTCATGATTGGAAACAGAGCACACATGACGGATCAGTACTGTGTTTCACCAAGGCTGCATAGTGGATTATGTTGACACAACTTTGTTGGGATATCAGCCATGAAACTCCAATGCTGAGGGAGGTAGATATGGCAAAGGAGCCTTTTTTGTATCCTGGCCGCACGGTAGAATTCCGTAGTCAACGAAAATTAGGAATTCAAGTTTAAATTATTTTGGGTCATTGGGTTGGCCTAATAAATTGATCAAATGAACTAGAATGAGATTTAGTTTGAGAAAAGTGGAAAAATGAACTAGAATGACATTGGACCGTAATCAGTTAGGTGACCGAAAAACAGCACTGGGTACCCACTTGCATCCCTAGCGAAAATCAAGTACAGGAAACCCTTGGATAAGCGCATGCATATATGTCATCATATACATGGCCAAATGGGCGGCCAAGCCCTGGCACAGCCCTGGTATGATTTGGCATGGCCACGACGGTACCGTACGTCGCGGGCCATGCATGGCACTAGGACCCTTGAACCATGCCGTGCCATGCCGCTGGGCACAGTGGCCCACAATGTCGTGCCGGCCCTGGCCCATCGCGTGAGGCTGCGCCACACTAGCGTCGGTGCACACTGCGCCAAGATGCCATGCATCGTCACCACGCAGATGCTCGGCCCTCAACGTTGACGCGCCACATCGTTGTTGCCTTCCACGCCGCCGTCGACTTGGGGAGCAAAGGAGCGGATGTTGTGCCATGCCATCGCCACCGGAGCGGATGCAGTGGGTCATGACATCGCTGCTGGAGGAGGCCGCAAGGAGAAGCCGCGGGAGGAAGAGGAGGAACGGGAGAGTGGTGGTATGTGGACGGGAAAACTCAGAGGTGTGGGGGAGATTTGTTTTAGGGTTTGTAATCCAACTGTTGTGGTTCATCTGAAGAGAATCTAATGATTGGAAATAATCGTGTTGCATCGTGCTGCCTGAAAAACCATGCCATGCCCGGGCTGGCACTTCGGGCCGGTGAGGCGGCCTAGGCATGGGCACGAGGCCTGCCGTGATGTACCGGTACCGGGACTGGGCATTGCTTTTTCGGACCGGGCCCGTGGTGGCCCAGCGGGCTTGGCTCGTTTGGCCAAGTATGTTACACTGGCGGTTTCCTTAAACTAACTGCGAGCGTCAACCATTTACACTAGCGGTTCTCTAGAAGACGCCAGTGAAGTTGGCGACTGCTCTTTCACACCGGTGGAAGTTAGAAATGCCAGTGAAAATATGTTTGTGACCGCCAGTACAAATCTTTGTTGTAGTAGTGGTAAGCCCATCGTTTGAATACAAGATTTTCCGAAATGGTAGTCGAAGAAAACAAATGGATTGGATTTGTGTAGCTTTTAAATCATCAAGAATGGAGAGTAGCTGTAGGAGTCACATAGTCACAGTATTTGGATACGTCACCCTGAAAGTACAGGAATTGGAGTTATATGTTCATTCATTGGCAAGAGAGCGAAAGAAGCGGGAAAGAGCGAATATATGCATTGAACTTTCAAGGAACTGGAAACACGAGGCTAGGTGCCAATGCTAAAATTCAATGCATGTGGAGGAAATTGATCTTCTTGCCCAATGAAATTTCGTTGCACTAATTCCACCATCCAATGGACTTGTCGAGACTGAGGGAACATTCCCTATATAATCAATGCCATATATGATCATGGTACAGTAGTACAGTACTGTTCAGCGCGGTAGAACCCCGTAGTCAACCAAAGTCAAGTAGAGGAAACCCTTGGCCAAGCATGCATATATATGTCGTCCACTTCATGCACAGGAGTAATACAGTGCTATTCAGCGCCACATGTTTGACCAACGGCGTGTTGAAGGTTACCTTGCTACACACATTCTAATTGGTGCTAGGCCTGCCACGGTAACAATGAGCACGGTGCGCACCGGTGGCCGAGAGCAGTGTAGGCCAAGCTGGGCTCTGGTCCTCTGTCCCCCTTGCGCAGCCTTGTCACATTCACACTGTCCCTAGTCCATGCATGTCTAGAAAGTTTTTTAAATGTCACACATCAGAGCTAAAGAAACGACCAGCAGTTCCTAGTCGCTAGTCCATGCATGTGTGTAGAATTTTTTTTAAACGTCACACACCAGAGCTAAAGAAACACACCATAAGTACTCCCTGGGCCGCCGCCTTCCACTTGCACAAAGCAGGAGCTAACATAGAGCAAGACGCAAGAGCCTATTACTCGCAACTGGAGCACAAGCAAAGCTAGTAAACGCTGCTTAGCTTGCCTGTGTGTTCTGTCGCATAGATACAGCACTTAATTTAAGATGGTGTGCGAGTCGGCAAACGAGACGATGCCGCTGCTGACGCCCTACAAGATGGGCCATCTGGAGCTCTCCCACCGTGTTGTGCTCGCGCCGCTGACGCGGTGCCGCTCCTATGGCAATGTACCGCAGCCGCACGCCACCGTGTACTACTCGCAGCGCGCCACCAAGGGCGGCCTGCTCATCGCGGAGGCCACGGGGGTGTCGGCCACCGCGCAGGGGTGGTATCCGGAGACTCCTGGCATCTGGACGCAGGAGCAGGTCGAGGCGTGGAAGCCCATCGTCGACGCCGTCCACCGCAAGGGCGCCTTCTTCTTCTGCCAGATTTGGCACGTCGGCAGGGTTTCCACCAACGGTACCTACGTGTGGCAGACTATTTTTCGAGAACATGTTTTACTATCAACTCAGTCGATGATGTTGTAGCTGATTCTTTATTTGTGTGCCACCCTGAGGCAGAGATGCAGCCTGACGGGCAGGCGCCCATCTCCAGCACGGACAAGCAGATCTCTCCCGATGCCGAGTTTGGCGTAGTGTACTCCAAGCCGCGGCGTTTACGGACTGAGGAGATCCCGGGCATCGTCGACGATTTTAGGCGTGCGGCACGAAACGCCATCGAGGCGGGGTTCGATGGTGTGGAGATCCACGGCGCGCATGGGTACCTCCTGGAGCAGTTCATGAAGGATGGCACCAACGACCGTGATGACGAGTACGGTGGCAGCCTTGAGAACCGGTGCCGCTTCGCGGTGGAGGTGATCGATGCTGTCGTCCACGAGGTGGGCGCGGACCGCGTGGGCGTTAGGCTGTCTCCGTTCATCGACTTCGTGGAGTGCGCCGACTCTAACCCGGTGGCGCTCGGTGAATATATGGTGCAACAGCTGAATAGGCACGAGGGGCTACTCTATTGCCATATGGTGGAGCCACGGATGACCAATGTCGTTGACGGCAGCAGGCAAATCCCTCATGGGCTTCTACCGTTTCGGCAAGCCTTCAACGGCACGTTCATCGCTGCAGGTGGGTACGATCAGGAGGAAGGCAACAAGGTGGTCGATGACCATTACACTGATCTCGTTGCCTACGGGAGACTCTTTTTGGCCAATCCAGACCTGCCTAGAAGGTTTGAGCTGGGTGCACCCTTGAATGAGTACAACCGGGCAACTTTTATCACTCAGGATCCTGTCATTGGCTATACGGACTACCCATTCTATGAGGACAACCATGTTTGATTATGTAGCTCATCGATTCGATGGCGTGATTGATTACTAGTAGAGTATACCTCCTGCCCCATCGCCTACAGCTAAAAGTACAACGCCGTTAGATCCTAAAATATTCACTCTCACGGGGTCAAACCCATGCCCTTAATTTCACAGCTTTAATTATTTCGCTGATACATGTATGTGAAGTTGTGAACTCATCCCCTATGTATAATTAAAAGGGTTGAATACCCTATACAAGTTTTTCCAAGGCAATAAAATAAAGCAATATGGGAATAATTTAAATACTATTTGGCTTATCAGGCTTGCAGCCATAACCGTAGTTATAAAAAAAACCATCTTACCGTTACTAATTGTATTGAAGGCTCACGAGACATGCTAGAAACAAAATCTAAAAGCTTTAATCATCATTGATAATAATAGACAATATATCTATTTTCTTTTTACAGAATAATTGGTCACCACTGACATCAGAGTATCTCCAGCGATAATACCTCTAAATCTGGGGCCCTACATGTCTAAGTAGGGGCTTTTCCTGCTTTCTGGACAATGATTTCGGGGTTTAACTCTAGCAACAACAACCCCAAGATCTGAGCCGATAAACATTTTGTTAATATACACTGAAATGTTAAAAGGTTCTTATTTGGTTTTGGTAATTGAGTGACAACCTAGGTGGACTAATGTGCGGTTAAGTGATTTACACAGGAGATTTGTCCACAAGAACACTTGTGTGAGCAACTCATGCCATAGAGGTGAAATAGCTTGATATGCTGCATAGCTCAAACATGTGATGATGGAGCTTATTGCATATGAGACATGACATGGAGTTATATGACTAAGGTAGAGAATATCAAGACAAGACTTGGCTTAACGGACCGTTTGCAAGACTAAGGTGGAGAAGATCAAAGCAAAGTTATAACCTATAGGACATTTCATTCCACCGGTTATAGGTGTGTAGAGAAGTTTATGACCGGGTTTAGGATAGATGGTTGTACTATCAAGAGGGGCAAACTTGTTTGCATATCGGTCATCTAGTGCTACTTGAGTGATCTAACTTTACATCCTTGCTAGGATCGAGTGGCGTGGTGAATTGAGTGACTAATCCTTTAGAAAACATTTGTGAAAAGCTAACACACATGCACAAAATGGTGATCACTTGGTGGTGTTGGCATATTTACAAAGGAGAAGTTGTTGGTGTTGAAACGGATCAAGTTGGAGAGGAAAAGGAGAAGAAAAGGGCTAGTTATGGTTGTCCGGTGGTCGGAAGTTGCAACCTAACTTGTAGCCAAATCGTAGCCATTATAGAGGGTGGCACCGCCCTTTCCGGTGGCCAAAAAGTGGGCACCGCCACCCTAGGGCGGTGCCAGGGGCGGTGCCCAAAAACAGTAGCAGCACCCTTTCGTATTTTGGGCATAACTCCTACCTCCGAACTCCGATTTCGATGAACTAGGACTTTTCGGAAAGCTAACGAATAGCTCTACGGCCTTGAAGTGATGGATTTTAATTTGGAGAAAGTTTTGGTCACCGAACTGTCCGGTGACAATGGCGGTGTGGCACCGCCACTTCTTTCCAGAGAGGGGGGAACTTGGTCGGGGGCACCGCCCCCTATGTCCGGTGCCAAATCAGCCAATGGCTATTTTAAAGTAGCCGTTGCAATTCGACCGTTAGGGCATCGCCACCCTATGTCTAGTGCCCGCACGTTGCTGTCCGGTGTCCGTGCAGAAATGTGCTCTAAGGCTCCAACGGCTCTATTTGACTTGGGGGCTATAAATAGAGGTGGAGCTTGGGCTTGGCTGAGGTCGAGCACCTTGGGGATGTGTTGCCCTTGTGTGTGCTTGGTTTGAGAAGCCTCTAACTCACTTGTGCTTGTGAGAAGTGCGAATCCATTGTGAGTGAGTGATTCTAGTGCGTTGCATTGTGAGATTGCATCGAGTGGCACTAGATGATCGAGTTGTAAGCCGGTGTTGCTTGTTGCTCTTGGAGGTTGCCACCTCCTAGACGGTTTGGTGGTGGTCTCCGTCGAAGCATGCAAGAAAGATTGTGCGGTTCTCCGGACAGTGGCGGAGGACAGAAAAAAATTAAGGTGTGGCGAAAATCGATAACATAGATATCAAAGATTTCTCAGTATACAAATACGGAACTCCGAAACTCACCGACGCTAACTTTCAGAGTCTGCCCTAAGCCCCCAAGGAAACGCAGTAGCAGCGTAGCTCGTCGACGACGCCAGGACTGGACTCGCGGAGGCGGAGACGTGGAGTTGATCGCGCAGCACAGTCGCGCTCGCGATGATCGCCTGATTCTGATCTAATTGAGCGGCGGCGCAGCCCGCGGGGACACGAACCGTCGAGCGGACTGCGGACGAGCGGTATTGCGGTAAGTTGAATCGTGGATTCATCCTACAGAAAGGAAACTCTCGATGACTCTGAAGGCTCCAACAGCCAGCAGGCCAAGGATAAGGCCAGCCAATGAACCAAAAGGCCCATATACGTGATTAGTGGCCTGTACGTGATATACTCCAAAAGCCACAATAGGCCAATAGCCCAAGACTCCAAGAGAACGTAGTAGTAGTCACTGTTTTTCTTCCTTAGGCTGCCGGCTGAGACATTAATATATCCATCGTACAGAGTATTTAGGAGTAAAACTTTCTGGAAAATCAAGGAGCGCCATACCTTGCCCTTGCCATAGAAGAGCTCCGCCTCTGGCTCCGGAGAAGTGATTGTGAGGCGTATTGTGCTCACCCCGCGGCAGCCACGAAGAGCAACTCTAGTTGAACGTGTCATTGAGTTACTCTCACTTGGTTCGTGGGGTTCTTGTGGTGCCCAACGTGTGAGCTTGGTGTAGTGCCAATTAGCCACCGAACCACCAAGTGAACGGTCGACACAACGAGGACTAGCGTGTTGGCAAGCACGTGAACCTCGGGATAAAAATCGTCGTGTCATTCTTGTCTTCCCGTTGGTTTACATCCTTGTTACACATGCTTGTATTTACTTTCATTTATATTGTGCTTAAGTAGTAGCTCTTGTAATTAGTTAACTTGTGTAGCTTGCTAGTTACCTTCTTCCTTGTGTAGCATAGAAGTAGTTCCTTGCGCAACTAATTTTGCTTGAGTAGCCTTGTTAATTGCATTGCTTGGTTTGTGTAGCTAAGTAATATACCCTCTCTAATTCGGCATTAACTGCCTTGTTATTGAGCATTACTAGTGAGCTTAGGTGGCTTTGTGCTTTTACTTACTAACATGTGTAGAAGCTCCTCCGTTGCTTGAAGTACTAGTTGCCTAGGTTTGTGTGACCTTACTATTAGAATTGATTAGGTGAGCTCTAACTAACCCGGCACATTAGTTGCTTAATTAGGATCTTTGTAAGTTGCTTAGAACTTCGAGGGGTGTAGTCTTGGTTAGATCGATAATTTTAATTCCGCATTTGTTTTGTTTAACCGACGCGTTTAATTTTTAGAAAGGACTATTTATCCCCCTCTAGTCCGCCATCTCGACCCTACCCGACTTATATTATTAGGTCAAACAATTTTCTTTTCATCTTCTCTCTTTTTTCCTCTTCTCCACGGTTTTTTTGAGTGGATCCTCTTCTCCACAGTTGGTAGGTGAGCTTGGGGGGAATTGGCCCATGTGACCCATACGTAGTTGCAATGTGGTGATTTAATACTATTTTGGAAGTTTAGTTAAGTGATAGCCAACTTATCTATCCCTAATATATATAATAATAAAAAGGCAAAATTTTGGGTGTTTTTTTTCAGCCCATTCAATTTGGTCCAATCGTCCCGGTCAACCTATTCCAATTTGGCCCAACTGTCCAGCCCACTCACTCCGTCTGGCCCACTCGCCTTCTACACTCGGCCACACACCTCGCTCTCCTCTCCCCGCACGGTCCGCTCGGCTACACATGGCCAGGAGGGATCGTCCGACCATGCTGGTTCGCCATGGTGGAGAGGTTTGTTGGCTTCAACCAAGGCCGGTTTACCTTGCAGGTGTTGGATTTTATTCGCACCTGTTGGTGCCCTTGTTCCATGACTTGCGTAAAGGTGTGGGATGGCACTCCTCAATAGTAGTATCAAGTCATGTCAACATATGTAGTTAGGACTAGTTTGCTGCCAGGTGCCGTTAGAATTAGTATGAAGTCATGTTAATTATCTGTAGTTAGAAATAGTATGTCTAGGTAGTAGTTGGATGACTTTGAGTAGTGGGATGGCACTGCTATCCTCTTATTATTATGGCAGATGAAGGCATGGTTATGTAGGCTGAACTTGTATCGTTGCTATAATCCACATATATATGAAGTCTGGTTTGTCGTTATCTTTCTATCTAGTAGCACTGATATCCTCTTATTATGCATGTAATGTGTGCATTTGTGCAAACATTTTGGTTCACAAAGTATCGTTTACCATTATCTTTGTGCGCACATGATGGTCCAAGCATTGTAAACTTGAATGGGCCGGACCTATCTCAATCCAACCGCGCAAGGGTTGCTTTGTGCCTCGGTTTGGTGAACCAAACACGTATCAGTAGTGGTAGTAGTAGTCATGAGTGGCTTTGATCTATGTTGAACTCAACTTGTCACTTCGCTCTCAGCAACCGCGCAAGGTTTCTTTGAGAGGAGCAAGCCTGGCCTAAATACAAAATAGAGTAGCCATATGTGTTGAAATTCTACTGTGCATGTATCTATGGTGAACCCAATTTTGCATGTATCTGATAAAATTTGTTGAACTTGCAACAACCATGCCGCAAGGTGTTCATCTGAACAAGTCTCGCCAAGACAAAAAGTCCGATAGCTATACATTTGGTATCGTCGTGCCGGTTCACCGTGGCGGAGAGGTCTAGTATGATGCCTCGTGTGAAGTCATGTTAATCATCTGTAGCTAGAACTAGTATGTCTATGTAATAGCTGGATGCCTTTGAATAGTGGGATGGCACTGCTCTCCTAAAATGGTCAGATGGCACTGTGCATTTGTGCAAATATTTTGGTTCACAAAGTAATGTTTACCATTATCTTCGTGCGCAC